AGAAGAACTAAAAAAAAACAAATGAAAGTGAAGAACTTACTGATTTGAAGAAGATGATACTCAAGGGATGCTTGGAAAAAATAGATCAAGTCCTAGAGACCTTGAAGAAATATTGGTACTATCGATAATTACTCAGCGTGTACAATGACATCATATTCAAAAACAACAGAGTACTTGTACCAAAAACTATGGTTCCTTTAGTAATGAAGCAATGTCATTCAAGCCATAAAGGGATACAAGGAAAACCAAGAATAGGCTTAGATAATGTATTTTGGCCTGAAATGACAACTGACTTGACCAACTACATTAAAAACTGGTATGCTTGTGCTAAGATACATAAAGACAACCCAATCATGATACAAAGTGCGTAGGAGCGACCACACTGAATTGTTCCATCTTAAAGAAAAAAAAAACATATATTGATAGCAGACAGATTACTCAGGATTTTTAGATTTCAAGGAGTTGACAAGTATTACAAGCTTCAACATCATAAAAGAACTAAAATCTTGGTTTGGATCATTACGAATCCCCGCTACAATGTGAGATGGAGGCAAACAATATCACTGTCAACAATTCGATCGATAATAACAGCTCATGATTGATGTGTCAAATGCCCAGATGAAATTTAGAAGAGCCAGGACGGTACATTGTGGCAATTCGAACACAGAATTTCAAGTACAAAGTTTTCTCGTTCAAATGGCTTAGCGAAGCGTACAAAAAGCCAAGAATCTAATGAAGTAGTGCCTTGAACGCAATTCTGATATGCATTTGGCCTTGGAACACCCCCCGTTTGGATGTTAGATCTCTCCCGCTTAAAGATTAATTAATCGAAGAACAAAAACTTCAGTCCCAACTAATGAAAAACTATTTACTCCTGAAATAGTAAGAAACATCACTAATAAGCTAAAAAATAAAGAGTTAGAGAAAAATAAATCGGACAGAGAAAAGAAGGAAAATGAGAAAACTACAAGTTATGAAAAGGTATTACTCAGGCAAACAGGAGTACGAACAGAAGATGGGCTATCTGTAAGAGAAACTCATGGCACTTGAAACCTACTGCCACAACTTCGAACATTAACCCTTCTATGCCCACAAATTCTCCTTCTCCAGTCGCCAATGTACCTAGCCCAGAATATTCTTCTTATGTACAGAAATACATTCTGGTTCATTATTAGCTATTGAGTATTCTTTATTAAGAACTTTAATACGCTAGAGAAAAAACGGTTGATTTTCTCATTCTTTGTGTTCTCGTTCTTAACAGTGTAGAAAACTACAGGTTTGTTTTACCAGTTAACCTCCACAGCCAGAAAAAATAGAAAAAAAAAACATTATGTAATTGATATCGATGAGTACCTATGAAAAAATATACATTGAGATAAGTTATTGAGTGGTCAAGTTTGTTCAATTAGTAGTTCGGGTATAAATTTTTACCTATAATACCTTTTTCGAAATGTTTTGAACGTAGTGTGGGAAAAGTTTATGGTAAACGTTGCTTATCTGATGCGGAAATGATAGCTTAAAAAATTCGTGAGTGTATCGGAGAAGTTAATAACCCTTCATGCCGTACGTGTACGTCAGTCCGAAATGAAGGTACACGGAAAGTATAGCGATCTTCGGTTTTCCATATTGAGCCAACAAGTTTTTAATAGCTTTGATAATATTCTGTTTCTTCTACGTACCCCATGAATGAGGCGAAAGTAGTTTTGAATTTTTTGCAGTCTTTTCTTGTTCCTAATTGTAAGGCTTGGTCCATAGAGTACATCTGCATAGTTCAGTGATGAAAGAACGAGACTATCACATGAAGTAATTCTTGTGTTTTTAGGAAGAAATTTTCGATTTCCGCAAATCAGCTTGAGTGAGAGGTAAGCTTTTTGGATTAGTTTATTACCATGGGAGTCAAATCGAAGACCACTGTCTATAGCCATCCCAAGGAAGTTTTCTTCCTTAACAATTTCCAGTCCATTAAAGCATTTACTATTATTGAGTTGTTCAACAATATCTCGGTTATTTTCTGGACCAAATATTAGTATTTTCAACTCAGCACACTGAGCACATAATATTTTCAGCAAGGAATGAGAATGTGTCGAGATCATGACCGATCTGTCTATTAGCGTCATCTACTCTGTGTGGTTAAAAAAATAGTAGATTTTGGTGTCATCGGCATAGAAATATATACTGCAATACTGAAGGCATTTCACTAATTGTATCAAAAATAGGAGAGGGCCTAGAATTGAACCCTGAGTAACGCCTGTATTTAAAATCAGAGGTGTGGAATGTACTCCGTCAATAACAACTTTATGCCGTCTGTTGTGTAGAAAGTTTCGTAAAAAAAAGAACTGAATCATCTGACCTGCCAATGTAGTGTAAGATCGATAATAACAGCTCATGATTGATGTGTCAAATGCCCAGATGAAATTTAGAAGAGCCAGGACGGTACATTCATTTCGGTTACTTGAAAATATCATCGGTTACCTTCAGAAGGGCTGTAGTACAGCTGTCATCACGCCTGAAACCCGACTGTACTGTTGGTAGTATTCTATTACTATCTAAGTGAGAGTTACTATCCAGTTATACTGGATTATTGTTGTATCGTTGTATTGAAGTTATTAATGCTGCTTTCCATATAGTCGGAAAAACGTTATTTCCTATGCAAAAGTTGATGATGTTCTTCGAATAAGAAAGAATGAAAGGAAAGACAATGATATTATTTTTCTACTGATCCCATCACATCCGATGGATTTTTTTAAATCAAAGATATTATTCATAATACGCAAATATCATCAACTGATGTGAGCTGGTAGATGGTTATTATATTCATCAAGTAAAACATTTGACGGTGGGGTTATTAAAATAGATTTCACAAAAAAATCATTGATGCGGTTGGCATCGATCAAGTGTGTTGGCTGGTCATGTTTTTCTGAAGGAATTATATTATTATTTTTCAGTATCGACCAACATTGTTTAAGGTTGCAATCATCATAATTGATTGATAAATAGGATTTTTTTCTCTCTCATGATAACTTGTGTTGTGAAATTCCGTAGCTACTCATAATATACTCGTTGGTGATATTTTGAATTAAAGTGAAGCCTCATCTCGCAATTTCATTTAATTTTTAATTTGATCTGTTAGTCACGATGCCGGAGGCTTTGTTATTCTAGAGATTGTAAAGGGAACATGCCGGTTGAATAATTGAGTTGAACTGTCAATAAGAATGTTTATTTGTGTCCACTTCAGTTTCATGAATACTGAAAAAAGCAAATCGAACTCAAAAGCTGCATAGTTGACATTTTTGAAATTTCGATATTGCAGGAATTTCACCGGTTTAACCGTGAGGCCTACTTCAAGAAAGCAATATGTGAGAGAATGGTCAGAAATATCTACATCTTCAACATCCTTCTCTACTACCCTTCATAGATTCCACACTGATATTAAATGTATAAGCGATGAGCTCTAGAGACCTATTCTAGACGGCGAGTCAATTATTTGACTGAGTTGATGAGTTTCAAATATTGATAACACGTTGATCACATATAAATTTTCCAAACATAATTCATCTAAGTTGAAATCACTCACGCAAACGACATTGGGAGTGGGTACAGATACGTCTTCGGTTGTATCTTCGAGTTCAAACAGAAGAAATATATTTTCCTGGAAACGAGGCCTGTAGATTACACCAAGGAAGATATCTTATTTTTTTATTTTTGAGATCATCCTAGTTGTTCAATATGAGAACTAGAATTTATCATGGAAGTGTTTAGGGTATTTTTTGAACATATACACACACCAGCACCTCTTGAATGAAGGTAATCTTTTTTATATATTCTATAGCCCCTCATACTGATCAGCTCATCATTAATACCATTGTGTAGCCAACTCTCAGATATACACAAAATGTCAAATTGGCTCTCTTGAATATTAGCAATAGAGGGAAGGAGAGATATCACGATTGAGGGTCCAATTTTAATACTCATGCCAAATATGGGTGAGACTGGTATGATACGAAAAAAAAAATTAAAGAGTTGAGTTGAGAGTACAAAAAAACAATAATTGTAGCTAAAACTTGAATAAAAATGAAAATTATAAAAAAAAAATTGAGTTAATGCGAAATTCAAATTATTTATTCATTTATTTTTTACTAGTTGATGCCTGCGTAGAATTTGGTTTGTGACACTTATGTTATACAGAAAACTTACATGCATATTTCAAAATTCTAGGTTCAGAAATTACGTTGTCTAATATGTTATAATATGATCTGAAACCTCTGAAAAAACAAATGAAATTGAAAATTTAAACAGAATTGCTGGGAATGAAAGTTATATTAAGCAAAAAACCATGAAGTAAAAATTGCAAAGGAATAAAAATATTCAAATTGAAATGAAAATGAAAGAAGTTAAAAGATTCCAAGTCAAGTTACTTCACGACGTTTTGATTGTATAATATAATTTCAGATCGACAACTTTTTTTTTGGTAATTTTTGAGCTTTTCCCGCTTTTTCTACCTACTTTTTAATAACCCTTGTTTCTCAGAAACTATTCGTATTCCAATAAAAAAAAATAGCCACATAGACTGAGATACTCCGAGGAACACCCAATTCCGGCCCTGTTTGGACGTGAAAATGATTTTAAAATCTCCTAACCTGAAAATTTTCATTTTTTGTGAGTCCGAAATCTTGGGCAAACGGTGAACATATTTTAACAGTTTTATTTTCTTGAGTTATGAAAAAAAAAGGTGAATACAACAATAATAATAGACTATATTTTGTCTGCACAATACACGTTTTCAGAGTTTGCAATTTTTTCAGAGTGGCATGAAATCAAGCGACATTACTCAGTTTGTTGATAGATAACTCGATGCATTCAAAAAGTCTGATTTTGGCAAAATATAACACGAAAAATATAAACAAAGAGTAAAGTGGGAAATAATGTGGAAAATAATGTGTTTCACCTGATACGTTGGTGGTGAGAAAATATTAGTAATGGTTGTTCTTTTCATTTCAGGAGGCAGGGCAGAACGTGAAAGTAGTAAGGTTTGTATTTTGAGTTGGTGTTAATCTCTCAACAATGTGTGGGAAGCTATTTGATATAACCAATTAATAAAAGGATAAGACTATCTTGATCAGTTCAACGTAAACATTGCTCCCACACGTCATAACTGCATAACTCTTCTTGATGTGCGTTTTACTAAACAAGTTGGAGATTAATCACACTATACTACAATGTACCGTACTGTACTTTACTATACTATACTATACTATACTATACTATACTATACTATACTATACTATACTATACTATACTATACTATACTATACCATACCATACTATACTACACTACACTACACTACACTACACTATACTATACTATACTATACTATACTATACTATACAATGCTATACTATACTACACTGATCAGATTACGTTTCACCATTCTACTTGTGATGCACTGTTTGAAACCTTCAGTACAGTAATAAATATTGCTGGAGTTTTTTTCCCAATACCAAAACGTTATTTTAACACCTCGGCACGTGTTTCGATCAGCAAGTGATCATCTTCAAGGTGAGATCAAACTAATCATACTTGGAAAGTTATATCTATTTATACCATAGATACCTGTTCTAGGTACCTGCGCCTCATGTGTGTTAAGTTAATTTCACGATATTGCCTTATCTACTAGTCTTAAATTGATTTTATAATGTGTCCTTGTGTAACAGTCAGGTAAATCTAATAATTAAAATATTATGAGCTGTATAAAATTAATTTCACGATATTGCCTTGCCTAATAGTCTTGAATTGATGCTACAATGTGTCCAGTGTCATCCCTGAAGTATGCACCATATGCAAAACTTATTTATTAAGGGTTTTTCGACAAAATGTTATTCTAGCTGAAAGTTTGTGCATCTCCTGGAACTGAACATGCACCAACAAAATACAGTTAAACACATGTAATATATGAGGAGCCTTCAAATATTTGATTTTGAGACAAAATTAAAGTACTCTTATTTTGAGAAATCTCGGGAAATCTTATTTGAAAAAGTTGTTCAGTATTGAAAAATACATCTAGACTTGAAGTAATGATCATCAAAGGAAAGTTTTATTTTTACCCATTTTTTTTAAATGACTACGAAAAAAAAAAATTCTAAAACGATAAATAGACAGCGTCCTGTATACGATGATTCATTTTGGAAGCCTGTAATATTACCAATTACACAACTATGCTGTTAACCACATGCAATTTTTTCGAAGAGTGAAATAATTGTCAAATTTTTTGGTGCAAAGTTATTTTCATTTTTTTTTCGACAAAATGTTATTCCTGCTAAAAGTTTGTGCATTTCCTGAAACTAAACATGCACCAACAAAATACAGTAAAACACCCGTAATATACGAGGGGCCTTCAAATATTTGATTTTGAGACAAGAGTAAAGTACTATTATTTCGAAAAATCTCGGGAAATGTTATCCAGGAAAGTTGTTCAGCATTAAAAAATATATCTAGATTTGAAGAAATAATCATCTAAGGGAAGTTTTATTTTTTTGCCAATTTTTTTAAATGACTACGAAAAAAAAAATTGCTAAAACGATAAATAGACAGCATCCTGTATACGACGGTCCATTTTAAAATTCTGTAATATTACGAATCACACAACTATGCTGTTAACCACGGTCAATTTTTTCGAAGAGTGAAATAATTTTCAAAGTTTCTGGTGCAGTAATTTTTATTTTTTGTTAACATCGAAAATTACTCAAAATTGGACTGTATTGTAACAAGAACTTTTTAATCAATAATATCAAGTCACAAAACATCAAAATAAAATAGGTATCTCGGAACAAACTCATCAATTTTCTGGAGATTTTCTTGTTCAAAATAATTCTCCAAAATATTTTGATGTTTTGTGATTTGATATTATATTTTTGAATAACAAGTTCTTGTTACAATACAGTACAATTTTGAGTAATTTTTGATGTTAACAAAGAATGAAAATAACTTGAAAATTATTCCACTCTTCGAAAAAATTGCCTGTGCTTAACAGCATAGTTGTATAATTCGTAATATTACAGGCTTCCAAAATGAATCTTCGTATACAGGACGCTGTCTATTTATCGTTTTAGAAATTTTTTTTCCTAGTCATTAAAAAAATGGGTAAAAATATAACTTTCCTTTGATGATCATTACTTTGAATCTAGATGTATTTTTCAATACTGAACAACTTTTTCAAATAAGATTTCCCGAGATTTCTCAAAATGAAAGTACTTTACTTTTGTCTCAAAATCAACTATTTCAAGGCTCCTCGTATATTACGTGTGTTCAACTGTATTTTGTTAGTGCATGTTTAGTTTCAGGGAATGCACAAACTTTTATTGAAATAACTTTTTGTCGAAAAACCCTTAATAAATAAGTTTCACATATAGTTGGGGATGACACTGTATAATATAGTCAGGTAAATATAATAAATAGTATACTGAAAGTATTGTATAATAGTATAATTGTATAATGCCAGTATACATAAGCTGTATAATGATAGTATCAACAAGCTATATAAGCTTGTTAAAATAATATTTTATTTATTAGATTTACCTGACCATTATATAAGAAAACATTGTAAAATTAATTTAGGACCAGTAGGTAGGTAGGTAGGTCTGAAGTGACTGGATCTATTCGACCCTTCACCGCAACCTATAAGGGTTTATTGTGGCTCAAACCTATTTACACTGGCCCAAATAAACTCAGCTTCTTAACGAAGCCGATTAGTTTGTATGGTGAGTGGTGTTTCAGGCCAGATGGTGAGAGTACGGATCTGCCGAACTCAAAGAACCTGATTCGGTCCCCAGCGGGGCAGGCATAAAGTATATGCTCTGCAGTTCCATCATTTTCCAGACAGCGACCCACTTCCGACAGTCCAAATCTCTTCATGTGATGATTCAAATGAAAGTGACCTGTAAGGAGGCCTGTTAGACATTGTAGTTTATCCCTACTGTAGTCCAACAACTGTTTGGAATCAAGCTTCGAAGGGTGAATAAACGCCTTGGAGTGAGCCAATCCTGGAAGATTCTGCCAGAAGTCCATGACTGTTCTTGCCATCCAGGTGTTAAATGTTTGTTTGGCAAAGCCCAAAGCGATGCCAATGACAGGTTCTGGTCCAATGAAGCCGCTTGCAGCACCCTCCTTTGCAAGAGAGTCAGCAGCTTCATTGCCTTCCAGGCCAGTATGGCCAGGAATCCAGACCAGAGACAATCTGTTTAGTCTCCCTATCGAAGAAAGTCTTTTTTGGCAGTTTGCTACCAATTTAGACGTTGCTCGTTGGGAGCCAAGAGCTTCCAACGCCGCTTGACTATCCGAGAATATTTTTATTGACTTGTGAGTGAGGTTGGATTTATCCAATCTCTCCGCACATAATTCAACTAGTAGGTAACACAATATTGTGAATTTAATTTTATATAGTTTATTATATTTCAATAATTAAATTTACCTGACTATTACATAAGGACACATTATGAATTTAATTTAACCCTAGTAGATAAGGCAATAATGTGAAATTAATTCAAGGCACTTAGGACGCAGGTACCTGGATCAGGTATCTATGGTATAAATAAGGATACATTGGTAAGTATGATTAATTTGATCTTTCTCTTGAAGATGATCACTTGTGTGTACGATTTATCTATCTATTATTTATAATATGTACAGTATAGTTCATCTCCTAATGAAACCAATGTTGACGGAAAAAGTATAGCAGTTTTGAGGTGTTGTTGTTGGATTATTTATCTTCCAGTATTTTGAGCATTTTTATGAATAATAATTGCATTTTTCAGTTCCGTTCAAGACAGTAAAATTTAACCCTAAGGTACTCTCAAAAACGGTAATCCTTTCTTAATTTTGGTACGTTCCCGGTAGTATAAAAATAACATTTTATGCAAGCGAGAGAACGTTGTTAACCTTCAGGAAATGGTTTTCGATCTATTGATCTATTACGTTTTATTAAACATCAAACTTTTTTACCACGTCATATTCACTAAGTATAATAATTATGTTTGAATAATATTCAAAATTGGAAAAAAACAAAAACATATGAGTATATGAACAATTACCAATTGTATATATCTGGGTATATAATTTCATTGATTTTTTGAATAAAATTCTCTATTGATGACTAACATTCTGGTTGATTGTTTATTGGAGTGAATTAATCATAATCAATCGTCATACAAATGAATGTAGAAATCTTCCAAAGAAAGGGTGAAAGCAATCGATTTCAAAATAAACTCTTTACAGAGATTTTTTGATCATACAAAGATCAGACAAAAACTAGACCAAAAGCACTCTCGAAACAACTACTTTCATGAAAACATTGAATAAGACAAAAAAATACTTTCGAAACAACTATTCATATATGAACATTGAATTATATAAAAACCACTTTTCCATTTTCAGTTTGTACTACAAACTTTCGTTATGTAATTGAATCAGATACTATTCACAATATTGCTACACAATATAGTATATAAAAGAGGTTAAACTTCACATACATAGAGCATTATCATCAAAGGCGGGCCTCCGATGTTTCGAAATTAGACATTTATCTCATTGCCTCTTCAGCACCAATCTGGATAACATTATAAGATGAATCACCCAATTCATTCATGAAATTACGATTTTGAGTCACGAATGAGTTAAATCTACTCATGTCTTGTTTGAATTGAAAGGATAATATTTTTAAGAGAAATTAATTTTTGGGAAAGAAATGATTTCGCTTTGTAATTCTTCACCTTTAATCGCTTTCTTCCTCTCTTCGGAAGATTTCTACATTTTTTTACTACTTCTGTGCTCTTTTATATTAGGCAGAAATATTATCATGGTTTGGTCGATATAAAGTTTAGGGCAAGAATCACAAGTCAACTTATAAACTCTTGAGCTATTCAACCATATTGTTTTTAACAACTTGAATTATAATGCTAAAATCATAATTTGTTTTGCAAGCCATGTCCAAGCCTTCAAAAAAACGAGCAATGTTGTCGGTGGTCAATAAATATTCAGTGAAACTCCCACAATGAAGTGAATATGTCATGTAGATAATAGGTTCATATTGGTTTAACAGGTATCAAGCAATGCCATATCCGAACAGTGTCACGATGTATTGGAACACATTATCAACAAGTTAACAATAAACGAAGATTTGTATGAGCTGCTTCTTAAAAAAGGTGAGTGTGTTTACAAAATCAAAGGACATAATAACCTTCACATTGTGCTTTTGCCTAGGAATGGTTGTTTTACAGTCTTCTGCCGCTTCCAACTCACAAATTTCCTGAAAAAATCTCTTTGAATGAAAATTTGTGGTTTTCTTTCGATATACATCAAAAGACTGTAATATAAATCTTCAAATCAAATATAAGATATTATCAATGGAAAAAGGTTATTGGACATAGCACTCATAGGAAGGTGGGCAAACCGCAGACACGTGTTTCTGGCTATTTAGCCTTCGTCAGTACGGTACAGCCAAGTGTAAAGGATAGGCAACACTTGGTTGCAGTTGGCCCCTGATGATGAATCCGCTTGCTTTGTTTGGCCCCTTTCGTGCAACCAAGTGTTGTCTATCCTTTACACTTGGCTGTACCGTACTGACGAAGGCTAAATAGCCAGAAACACGTGTCTGCGGTTTGTCCACCTTCCTATGAGTGCTATGTCCAATAAACTTTTTCCATTGATAATACCATCTCACTCAATATCCCTCTATCTTTATTTATTTATCTTGGACCTGGATGTCACGCAGGTTGCTATAGCTGCTCCCGTGACGAAGTTGGGAGTTAGTCCTTGTAATCACAAGGTCTTCCAACGATGACACGAAATCGCAGTTGGCCCCTGATGATGAATCCGCTTGCTTTGTTTGGCCCCTTTCTTGCAACCAAGTGTTGTCTATCCTTCACACTTGGCTGTGAGACAAAAAACGACTTTCCTGAATTTGATGGCCTCTCATATCAAAAGCATTTTTGCTCATATTGGATTATTCTTACTAAAGTACTCTTAAGCAATTCCTGAATTATTGTATACCCTAATAAGTAGCCCTAATGGCGATGTCATAGCGAATTAGTCCTATTTGATACAGCACTTCGAGAAATCTTCGAACAAATCTCTAATAATAACTTTCAAAACGAACCATGGATCCAAGCTTCACTTCCGGTGAATCTTGATGGTATTGTCATTCGACAATCATCTTCATTTGCTTTACCTGCTTTTCTATTCCCCTTCAATAGTGTTGAGCATCTGATTCATTCTATTTTATCAAATTTCTGCTCTGATATTGATGATTCACTTTATTTGGAAGGTGAATGAATATGGATTGAAAATCGAATTCACCAACACTTGATAACAAGGGCTCTCAAAATCATGAGATCTTCCTTTATTGCCGATGTTATTTACAGAACTCATTGTTGCAACCAAGGACTACCTTTTATATCAGGCTTGCCTCAAAGCTGTAACAACTGAGGCGCCTGGCTCAACACACTTCCCGTTATATCTTTGGAAACATCATTCGACGACAAATGTTTCAGAATCTCAATAAGTATAAATTTGGGATATTTCATCTGTGTTATTCACCTGATTGAACGTGCATTGTCAACAGCGAATATCTCTTATCTGCTTGAACCTCTGGGAATCAGCCGAGATGATGGAATGTCTCTCATTCCTTGCAGACATGGAGAACTTTGGTATGAGACTTCACCTGTATTGATACTTTGGCATGCTCTCATCTCCATTCAACTACGCAAACTGTTGGTGGAGTCACTCAATATACCGAAAAGATGAAACAGCGGAAATACAGTTATCTGGAAGATTGATAGGTACATTTTCTATCCAATCGCCATTGAAACATTCAGTAGATTTGGTTCCTTTGCTTCCGATTCTTTCAGAGATGTTGGTCGAAAATTAATTACAGTAATAGACGACTCTAGAGCAAGATTTTTTTGATACAAGGAATCGGCATTGCAATTCAGAGAGGAAATGCTGCATCGATTCTTGTCACTATTTCTCCTTCTCAATATATTGATAAAATTTTCTTTCACCCACAAAATTGGTCTGATATAACTAAGTTTCCTGATACAACATATTTCTCCCCAGCTTCTCCTATTGAAAATAATCCAAATGGTAATAAAAGTAAAAATTTTGTGATAGAATACTTAAGAAGCAAACTGAGCACTAACAGTTTCAACATTATAAAACTACAAATGGAGAAGTGAAAAAATGTCCAAAACCGGAAAGATTTTGTGGTTCTTCAACCAATTTTCATCTTTTGACTACCACCCGCACACTCTGATCTCCCTTACGATGAACCTCCAACATCCGCCTATGATCATACAGCCAATTCGGTCCTGTCCTCATCCCCAATCGAGCGTCATTTATTTCAATGCTCTTTTTCCAATGTTCCTTTCTAATTTTTGTGTTCTTGCACATCAGAATCCTGCCTTTCGTGGTTATCCTCACGACAGTAGATACGAGTATCAGGAGACAGTGCAAGAATCAGCGATGGGCAATGTGGTGGAAGACCCACAAAAGAACTGTCAAGCTTTGACGGAAAAGGAAGAGGGGATTCGAAATGAGCCTTAACTAAGTCTTTAGGCTGAATACTTACAGTCCCTAAAATAACTAAGTCCCAACGGAGTTGGAGTAACAAACCCTACCCCTTTCGCAAAGTCGTAGGCAAGTCTTTTCAAATCCGACAACGCCCATCTTACGTCTAGACCCGTCAACAGTTTCAACAAAGCCCCTCCAAATACTCCAGAAGGTCCGACCAGTTTGTAGATCCAAACTGTTATAGGATTGGGCGAGTTTCTATCTACATACAAGATCTTTTTTTATTAACTACACCTTACAATCTGATCTTCACAAATTTTATTTTCAAAAAATATATCACATGTTTCGCTATCACAGTAGCTTTTTCGCAGTGAATGCACAGTGAAAGTACTCGTCTCACTGCGTTTGCCAGGTAGGGGGACTACTTGGCAAACCTGTTCATGAGCAAAATCGAAATGGAAACCAAAGAAAAGTCAAAGTATTTTCCCAGGATATGGCTGAGGTATGTGAATTATATTTTTGCAATGTTCGATAACACAAGAATCGAACATTGAGGACTTTGTTTTCTTTTTAAATAACAGATTTCCAGCAATAAAATTCACGTATGAGTCAGAAAATGAAGGACAACTTCCATTTCTTGGCGTTTTTCTAATGAGGTGCCAATGTGGAAGGCTAGAATACGATGTATTCAGGAAGGAAACAAGCACTTACAGGTATATTCCTGATAGTTCACATCACGGTGGACAGCACAACGTGCTGCAATGAATTTTCTAGTGCATCGTCTTTTGACGTTTCCTCTCAAATAAAAGATTCACAGTGGGCTATGCTTGAAGACTGCCACTAAACAAATCTAAAGAAATGAACTTTAAACGTTCAAGCCAGTCTCGATATACCGACACAGCTGGCTAATACAAATAAAAGTGGTAAAAAATATAGAAATTTTCATTTCTCTTTTCAACTGCATATCCGTAATTTGCCCGATTCCTCTGAATAAGGAAGAAAAACTTTCTCATTAGTCAGTGGGCTATGCTTGAAGACTGACACTAAACAAATGTAAAGAAATGAACTTTAAACTTTCATGCCAGTCTCTATATACTTACACAGTAGGTTGAATGGACTGACGTCTATCAGAAAACAACTACTCCCCTAACTAATACCACGAAGGGCGTTAGTGCAAGAAAGTGACCATCATCGACCTAAAGTCAATGATATTCCACAATTGAAAATAGGAATTTTTTATTCCTCTTCCAAAGTTGGAGCGAGCGAAATATATGCAGGAAATTTTCTGTGAAGATTCCTGCACTGACGCCTGTCGGATATAATCCAACGCCCTTCGTGGTATTAGCCAGGGGAGTAGTTGTTTTCTGATAGGCGTCAGTCCATTCAACCTACTGTGTAGGTATATCGAGACTGGCTTGAACGTTTAAGTTCATTTCTTTGATTTGTTTAGTGCCAGTCTTCAAGCATAGCCCACTGACTAATAGGAAAGTGTTTCCCTTATTCAGAGGAATCGGGCGAATTACGGATATGCAGTTGGTTAGTATCTCGTCCACTAGATGGAGTGACATTTTGTTGTTCGCTCCTTAGGAAGAGGAATGAAATACTCTGAAAGAATTCAGTCTTTCAATTGTGGAATATCATTGACTTTAGGTCGATGATGGTCACTATCTTCCACACACTTGCAGACCGGTTTCGGGCTAATGAGCCCGAAACCGGTCTGCAAGTGTGCCCGTTCCAAAATTGAAGGTCGACTCTTTCAGTTGTATTGTCAATTGCATATGCAGTAAATTTTCTGTGAAGATTCCTGCACTGACGCCTGTTCGATATAATCCAACGCCCTTCGTGGTATTAGCTAGGGGAGTAGTTGTTTTCTGATAGGCGTCAGTCCATCCAACCTACTATGTGGGTATATCGAGACTGGTTCGAACATTTAAAGTTCATTTCTTTAGATTTGATTGAAAACTATATTCGCATGACCACCTATAGGCCCATCATCGAAATATCAACAGTTGAAATCAGTTTGAATTGATTTCAAACGATTAATGGATAAGCAGAAAAAAGCAAGACTCAGAGGATCTTGTTGAACTCCTGTTTCCGACATGATGACATTGTCTCTGAAATTCAGAAAGGTGGCTTTTGATGACACTGGTTGATGAAGTGAAAAAAATAAGATGTTAAATCCATGATTCTTTCCGAAAATACTTTTCATTGAATCATTATGAATGTGTTTTGAAAATCTAGTTTCAGAAAAATTGTTGAAGACAAATTCGGATTATAATTTATGAAATGGCGAGATGCCTGAGCAACTACTTCACATCCTCCGGAAGTTCCAAATCCGAATCGTATGGGACGAAATGTTAAAACAAGAAATTTTGGCTACCTAGCATCAAAAAATAGGTCTTAGACCACCACATTTATTCTTCAGAACTAGTAATAAAGCACCATAAAGAATTGGAAGTTCTTCTTGTAATAAAACACATAATGAATATTTCTCATATCGCTCGTTTCCAAAGGCAATTGTTCATGAGGATTATCTATTTGGAACATTGACTTTTATATGTGTTTTGGGTTCATATTTATCTGTGAACCGTGAAATCGCATCTGTACAATTGATTACAGTAATATTGGAAATTCCGTTATTTATCGAAGAGTTGATTGAGTCATTCTTACCAGACATAATTTCGAATTGTATGTATAATCTGACCGCAATTACGAAACAGTTTCATAGAGCCATATACTTGATTGAAATTTGATATATTTTTATTACCCAAAGGTTTATCTCAGGTCAGATTTGTTGTCCTGTCATTCAACTATTATTAGTTCGTACACCGGTATGATTTTTTCGAAGAGAAAAAGTTGAATCGGAACGTATCCATTATATGCCATGAATTCATAACGACTGAGAGAAAGATTACTCTGATGTAGGAATAAGTAACATTTGGAGATAAAAGTTATTAGTAATTTCAAGTTCATTTTGAAGACATTATTTCAGGAATATAAAAATGACCGATTATCTTGAAACGACTTATAAATTATATATTCGTGATCATGTATTGTGCGGACATTAGTCTTCCCCTCATCAACCCTCGAACGGGGCAAGATATCAGAGAACCTTTTCCAGTACTTGGTGATGGAAAAGCTAATAAAGTGACATCACTTGTCGTCAAGAGGACGCTATCAATTTTTTTTTCAAAAAAGGGGGTCTTGTGACATTTCGTATGGAAGGTATTTCAATTCTGATAAATGACAATTCAATCTTCCAATATTTTTAACCACTTTTATTTGTAACTAAGGTTACTGCAGTTTCGTCCTATACGGACATTTTCGAACGAATACAATAAACTGAAATACTCAACAATTTACACCATATAAACTTTTATAACCATAGCAGGTAATGACTTTATTACGTGTGACAATAAGGCTACGCCAATATGTAAACCGGCGAGTAAATAAGATCAATTTGGTCATTTAGTAGGTTACATCCGCAATGCTTATATTTATGAATTTAGAATTAGAATTTGGATTCACTAAAGCTTAAAAACTCCAGATTTCTTTATCTTGCTCACTTTGGCTTTGACATTAAAAAGTAAATTTGATAACTTGACATATGGCCTGAATGCCACTTCCACATTGTTTTTTCTGAAAAATCCCGCAATTGTCTGTTTTTGCCAAAATATGTTGATGTTAAAATTTTTTTGATTTCTGATTGTTTAATCTGGAGAAATATTGGTCTGTACGTAGATTTAAGGTTTTGTTTTCTGACTAACTTCTGGATTGTGTCTGTGTTGAAACCATTATTATGTCCGATCTGTATGATTGTTTTAATTTCTTTAGCCAGATTTTCAGCAGATAAAGGCAACGAGAACGTTCTGTGTAACATTGAATTGTAGACTGCTATTTTATGACCGTCGGGATGGAAATAATCACTTGGGATTGTAATCGAGCTATACAGACAGGATGCTAACAATAATTTTCGTAACGAAAATATGACGTTCCATATATATAGAAAACGTTGACAAGTAAAATTTCAAAATCATATTACTTATATTGCAAAACAAATTAGGATTTGAGTGGGCTCCATTCAACTCTCAATCACGCACAGTTTCAACCTCGTTTTTTATCTTATTCATTCGATTACTTGATTTATGCTTATTATTCATGTACAATTCTGCGAATGATATTGTTACGTTTTCCCCGTGGGCTTGACAATAATTGACGACACTGTTCAATGATAAAACTCAACTTTATTCCACTGTCAATACAACGAAACATTTTAAGTTAAAGTTCCAACTAATATTCAAATGATTCTCTCCGCACCGCACTGTTACTTGACTTCGCTCTCTCAGATCGACGCGCGTGTAGAGTTTATATATGCCAAGTCTTAGTCTTATTCTCGAAGCGACGCGACACCCAGAACATTCGCGAAACGCAAGTCAAGTTGAGCGCGATCTTGGCCACGTCACAATTGATTTATGACGACCAGCGGCGGCCGGCGTAATTCTTTTCAGGAGATGATTTACAACAATTATGATTACTGTCGTTGCTTTTCGAATTTGACAGCCGTGGGTTTTTGGAATTTCTTCCTGACGTTTCGCTGGCGCGAGTGGCTAGCTTCTTCAGAGGTTTAACCATCATGGCTTGCTGCCTGTTGTCCTGTTCGTTATTCTCGAATTCTTTAGAATGGGGTTCCATATTTGATTGAGGTTCACCGGCTTCTTCTTTTCTGTGTGTTTATGGATCTCTATTGCTTCCCGTACCAGTCGGCTATGGTATCCCTGGTTGGGGGCAATTAGTTCTGCGTACTGTGGTTTCCTTCACTCAGTGCGTGTTCTGCCATAGCTGACTTGTCTGTTTGGCCTAGTCTGCAGTTCTCATGGATCGTTTGGTGGTTCCGATATATACCTTTCCACAAGTGCACGGAATGCGACAGACCCCTGCTGCTGATAACACAACACAACAAAAAAATATTTTTTCAATGTTTCCTACACTAAATTAGTCAATTTCTACAAATTTTGGGGTGATAAAAACGAAAATAACAATGAAAAATTTTTATTAGCTCTGGTTTTTGAGATACACAGTACTTAATCTTAAAGAGTAGTTATACTATACGTGAAAAGTGAAAGTACATAAAACAATATTGTTATGTTTCTTTTAGAAT